TTTTAGGCCCTCCCAGTAAAGACAAAATAAATAAAAAAAGAAATAATATAAACCTTCAACTTATTTCTAAAAAAAGGGAATTAAAAAGTTACTGAGGTCTAATTTCAGTGCTCAAATTAACTTTGTCCATTAAACTTAAAGACTGACCAATTTGTTCGAAATTAACGTAAGATCTTATGGGACACATCCTCTTAAATGTTGAAAATCCAAATTATTATTCGGAAGTAATCAAATAGTTTTACAAAATTTAAAATATTATTTTAAATTATTGACGGATTTACAAATTCTCGCCTGCAGCTACAACTACATCCCAACACGATTTTTTAGGGTGAAAATTAAGTCCAATCAACACGATTTTTTTATGAAACATTTTTAAATTTTATTTCCAAAATTACTTTAAATTGTTGTTTTATTGACGTATTCAAACATGTGACCATATTACTTGTAAAAATAAGTTTTATTAATGAGCGGGTCGAGTTTTAGAATTTCAAGTGTCAAATAGCATCTAAGTAACATGAACATCCAGATATATGTTGGAAAATTAAAACACATCACTTAAAAGTCATAGATCTATTTCTCATGTTGATTCAAGAGAATTAAATTGAAATGAGTCGAAGTATACGTGAATACATAATGGAAAGTAGAGTTGTCGGATTGATCTTCCAAATCTTTGATAAATCACGATTGGTCTTATTAAGTTTTCTCAATTCTCTTTTTCATTAAATAGAAGCAGGGTTCAAAATGTCGCTCGACATGTCAAGCATGTTGACATCGACATAGGGGGCAAAAGTCCATTTTCTCCCATGTCGTCGACATGTCTTTTTTTTTTTCCCTTCTTCTTTTAAAATTATTTTATTTTCATCATCTTCCTACTGGGTCACTATAGTCTATAATTTCTTACAACCTCGATGATTGTAATCTTAGTCTGTTCAATCAAACATTCGAATTTTAATACTGTACAAAGTATAACTAATAAGATTTGGAATTTGCTTTGTTGGTATTTTCTAATCTAATCTAGTCTTTAGTTATACAATTGAACAATATATGTGAAATATTGACATATATAAAGAATGAAATAATCTTAGAATTTTTAAAAATAAAATATTATTATATACAAATAGTGGTGAAACATGGGGTAGAATAGGTAACTTAATTAATACCAAAAAGATGATCTCGGAGGATTTAGTGCACAATCTTGATAACTTTGATATAAATTACAATAGTTCTCCCCGTCATCCTAGATTGAAAGACAAATAGTGGTGAAATATGGAGTAGAATATGTAACTTAATTAATACAAAAAAGATGATCTCGGAGGATCTAGTGTACTATCTTGATAACTTTGATATAAATTACAATTGTTCTCCCCGTCATCCGAGACTGGAAGTTTTGAAGGTAGTTGTTCAAACGAGTAGAATATGAATCACATATGGATCCCATTGGTAGATAATTTGGATGAATGACACAATTATGAGGTTGAGATGTTTGAAAATTGTGTAAATTTGATTGAAAAGTTGGATTGATGATTGATTTGAAAATGTGTTTGAAAAATGTGTAAATTCAAATTTGAAAAGAGAAGTAGGTAAAAAGTAAACTGGTACGAGTTAAAACACTAAAGAAGTAGTCAAAAGTTTACAATTAAAGTTTACTTTACATATTCAAATAATTTCCATCAATTTTCATTTAAGGAAAAAAACTTTTTTTGATATTTTCATCGACATCGACATTTTCATAAGTAAAATGGTCATATTCTTACATTTAACGGTTAAATGTGATCAATTATAGGCTAATTAAGCTACAATTCAAGTTTTATTTGCTAATTCAAAAAAATTTCCATCAATTTCCACAATTTCCATTATTTTTCCCAAAATATCTATCAACATTGACATGTCCGTAAAATCGGGACCTCGACATTTTCATCGACATCGATATTTTGAACATCGAATAGAAGTAGAGAATTGTTTCTCTCTGAAGGGGTAGAGAGAAACTGATGTGATAATATATTGACCTGGAGACCATAACCCCTATGTATTCAACCAAAAAACCACTAGTCGATTACATGGTTTTGGCATTTCTAATTTGGCCCCTAATCTATACATTTTAACAATGATTATTTTATAATTAATTCATTAAACTAAAACTTACACATGATTAGATCACTTCTCTCGATCTAATTAAATAGCAAAAACACATTAAACATTTACATATATGGCCCCAATATAAATTCTATTGAATAAAAAGGAAAAAAAAAGTAATATAATTGAAACTTGAACCCAAGACCTATAAATTAAAATACAGGTCTAAACCCAATGTATCAAGTAATACTTATGTGATTGGTGCATATCAGGCCAAAATTTAAAAAAAAAAAATACACATAGCACCAGCAAGCAACCATGCAATTGGGGAAGCGTGAAGTGGCATAGAAGAGATGACTTTTAATTTTCCAAGTATTATTCTTAGAAATAATTTGGTGGATGATATATATTTAGAATAAGTTTAAAATAAAATATTATTTTAAAAAATCCTTTAATATTACCAACAAAGATTAAAATTTATTTGGTATATTTAGCTAGAAAGAAACCCATTTCTATATAAATGAATTTAAAATATCTTTTGAGTTAGAAAGATAGAAGTATAAAAATAAAATTTCAAGGAAATGAAAAAAAAAAGGAAAAGAAAAAATAAATAAAAAATATCAAGCTCAGCAACGCTGTTTTATCATCCTGTAAATCGGACGGCTGTGATGGACCCAACCAACACTTCGAGCGTAAACCTCATCATCAAATGATTAAATTGCACCAGCCGGGAATCGAACCCGGGTCTGTACCGTGGCAGGGTACTATTCTACCACTAGACCACTGGTGCTATTGACTCTAAATCTTAATAACAATTAATATGACCTTGTAAGTTGTAACAAGGATAAGATATTGACGTCACTCTAAAAGTTTGAAAAATTTTAAAAATCGTAAAAGATATTTAAATTAACGGATAAATATTTTTCTAATTATAAATAATAAAAAAATGATTAATATTCATATTATGTATATATTAGTGACATTTTCTTGATATTTTTTTTGTAGTACGATGAAAATGTCGAATTTATCTCTCATATCGATGTCAAATCGATGGACACATAGAAATATTGATGGGTAGATATTTAATACCATAGTTTGTAATATAAAATATCGCTATAATTTTAAAGTTATCTATTTTATATTTGTATTGTAAAAATTTTCTATGAACTTTTAATTTTGTATCAAATGTATCACATTGACTGTATTATATAAATATTATTTGGGTAAGTTTTGATTCAAAAAAAAAAAAAGAAAAAAAAAAGATTACTTGGGTAAGTTCAAGCATTATTTGAGAAGTTTGAATATCTACTAGAAATTTTTTAAAACATAGAGATTAATAAGCCGCAACTTTAAAAATTTAGACATCTATATAAAACTTTTTAAAGTACATAAAGTTAATAATCCCAGCCTATAAAGTTTATGAATAACTTATAGAGATAATATTTTGGGAGTGCTATTTTTAAATCTTAATTTCATAAATGCCTTTAGTTTTCTAAATTTACACTTCAGGTAGGATTTTATGTTTATATCGTTTCTACCCTTATTTATTACTTTTTATTTTATTATAATTTTAAAATTTAAAAGATTTGAATCTTTAATTTGTTATTATATTCATTTAATTATTGTGGGTCCGTTCAATTTTTCAACCTAAATTTCTCAAATCTCTCCTTCAAAAAAGATTTTATCCCCCACCCATTAATAACTTCAAAATTTGTGAAATAATGTTTTGAATTAATTAGATCTGTTTGCCTTCTTTTTTTTTCCGCCGTCTTCCTTTCTTTCGTGTAGGCTTTCATCAACGAGGACAAGAGACGTGCAGACCGTCTGTGTTCTTCTTCAGGACTTCCATCAACGAGCGATTTTTTTCCTTCTTCTTTTCGTCGAAATCTTCTTATTTCCATCGCCGAATAGACTTTCCGTCGACCTCGTTGCACGTTTTCGATGCCGTGCAGCATGCTTCCGTCAACGAGGTATTTGTTCCTTCAATTTCCGTCGCTAAATAAACTTTCCGTCGACGTCTTTGCACGTTTCCAATGCCGTTCAGCGCGTTCCTCATCTCCTGTCCCCTTATGTTTTTACCATTAGTAATTATTAGTCTTCCGTTAAGATTGGTATATATGGGGATATATTTTATATATGTGTATAGAAAATTGAAATTCTAAACGTCTCAGTATTTCTTGATTATATCTGTATATATGGGTATATATTGTATATGTGAATATATCTTATATGTGTATATATCTTATATATAAGTCTTCTGTTAAGATTGGTATATATGGGGATATATTTTGTGTATGTGTATAGAAAATTGAAGTTCTAAATGTCTCATAGTTTTAGTATTCCTGATTATATTCCTGATTATATTCGAGATTATATTCGTATAGATGGGTATATATTGTATATGTGTATATATCTTATACTATATATAAGATATATACACATATATCTTATAGTGAAGTTCTAAACGTCTCATGGTCTGGACGGGATCCAAATTATAACCGATACAAGAGGGTATTTAAGTAATTTATGCGTTCAACGTCCAAAATATTGCAGAAAATTGTAGATTTACTCCATCAATTACACCTAAGAAGATATAGCTAACTTGTGAGTTTAGTTTTTAAACACGCTTTTTTGCACATCTTTTTTGAAGTAATTTTCTTTAAAAAGAAATAAAATTTATAGCAATTTAATACCAAACACAGGAAAAAAAAAAACCCTGTCGTAGAAAAAGTGATTTTATTTAAAAATGATTTTTTTTTCAAAAGTTTTCCAAAACTGACTTTAGAGTTAGCTTTCGTAAGTATGTGAACAAGCTTTATGATTTAAAGAAGTGAATGAACTCATTCTGATACGTAGTTAAGTATTTGCAATAGAAAGACTTGCAAAGTTAAAATTTTTCAACTTTCATTGATTACCTATCATCATCATGAACCCAGAATCTAATAAATAATTGCATTGCAGATTTCACAGGTCTCATGCCAAAGCCAGAACCATCAAAACAAATAAACAAACAGATCAAAACTTTATATATATGGGCATTATTAGAACCATCAGCAACCGCCTAGAAATAGAATACAAATTATAATCTAAATCTGATGATGTGTGCTCCTTTGCCTACAAGTGGTAGCGTTCGCCTTTTGAGACGATCCCTCCTGCAAAAATCTCGGCAACTTCAACAGAAGGCGTCTTCGTTGCAACTGCAGGAAAAAGGGATAAAGAAAAAAGAAAAGAAAGAATATCCCCCTCCTCCTCCCGGATTCCTATTTTCAGGTCACTTCGCCACTGCTGCCATTGACCTCTTGGAAGAAGGATTTTAACGCTTCGTATGTTGACCAGCAAATAGCTGCTGCGGGAGCATGAAAAAGCATCCTTGGGATCCATCCCCTCATAAGCCCTCTATACCCATCCTTCTTAAGTATTGTCCGAATGACATCTCCGATCGAACTACTTTTGAATCTATCACATCCACATATGCCCTGTGCATCCACAAATGTGAATGAAGTTAGGTAGTCACTTAAGCATATAGCTGCACATAATTTAATGTCATAACTGAGCCCAAGTATTTACTCGTCGGAAAATACGCTTATGCTCCCTAAGCAACATTTAATCCTCAATTAAATTCCATGTTTTGAGATATTAACAACTTCCATGAACCATGTATCTTTTAAACACCCATATATCATGATGACATATCAATATAACAAAAATATCATCTTATTGACACTGTAATTCATGCAGCAGAGTTTACTACAATCCAACAGTTTTTTGTTTTGGGTGTACGAAGCACATGAGTTTGTTATGTAGGGACGCTCCTACCTGAGAGAGGAAGAGAATATTGTAGAAACTAACCCCAATTGGACAACAAGAAAGAAAAATAAAAAGAACCAAACACAGAGAAAGCTAACTAATAATAGTAAATTGAAGCCAGGGAATGATACATAGTTTATGATCCAAAGGTATCTCTTAGTCATTATCTCCGCAAGACAGAGTTTAATATAGGACATCCAATCATAAAACACTTTACAATCCCCCTCCCCTCTCAAGGGATAACAAGTAAAGAGTTACTAAACCATTGGCGTGGAGTTCACTTGTGCACATGTAAGATAACTACCGAAAAGCAACACATCCAACATCAAGAAACTCATATAAAAGGTGGTGGTCACTATAGTTTGACCACATAAGGTAGTGATTGTGGTTTAACTGGCAAAACATATAAAAGGGCATTCAGCACATCTATTTCCTGGTTTGAAGGTAGCAATTGTAAACAAAAACATAGAACATGGAGTGAATTGTCCACAAAACCTTGACAGATTATAGGGATAGGTAGGAAAATTTGGAGTTAAGGTAGGAAAATTATTTGGTATTCGAATTACTACCGTTTACTAAAAAAGATAGGAGCATCAATATCATACAGTTTCCTCTCTCGTTCTTTCATAAATTCTTGACCCTCAAATTTCACTCTGGAGTAACTTCAACACCATTCTCTCAAACCATATTTGCAAGTATAACTAATAACTTTAACTTTTATACTTTTTCCTTCTTTAAATTCTTTTCTTGCATTTCTACTCTTCCATTTCGGGGTTTGTAGGTTGTGGTCAAAGAAAGGATTGTCTGCCATGAGTTTCTTGGATAAGTAGTAGGTAGGTTGAAAGAAGTTTCTTTCTTTTCATTAGAAGTGGGGGAGGTGTGGTGAGGATTTGTTCCTTTACAAGTTTTTCAAAAAGGGATTTCCTTTCTATACCATTATGGTTGTTGCATGGATGGATATGATCTCATTTGGTCCTGCATTTCCACATCGTCATCACTACATTGAGTAAGGGGAAAACAGTTTTCAAATTTCAAAAAACCTTTCTTTTTTGTAACACAACCAATCCCTAGCTTAGAGGTCGTTGTAAGTGCTTGTAGAACAACAGCAACAGTAATTTAATTATAAGAACTTTTGTAAAAGATGTTAAATGACATATCATTTTAATGCATGATCCTAGTACTTTTTGGTTAATCACTCAAGCTAAAAAGCACCATAGCTCAACAAGTGCTTTCGAGTTAAAACATTTTATATTACTTTCCGATATACAACCTTTTAGTGCAAATTGCTTTTGACATGCTACAATTATGCCCAACCATAACCGTAATCTATCTCTAAAAGAACTTTTATCTCTAATAGTTAAAAACTTCTCGCAAATATCCAAAGGGGAGTCCAGACGAAATTAGCAAATTCTATGACCAAAATACTAAATTGGGTGGGTACCTGACATTGTAATTGAGTCTTAACCACATCGAGCGGTGTTGTAACAAATGCAGCTGAGGCTCCAGCAGCAGCCCCTGCCGTAGCATGAACAATCCACTGTTCATCATTTACAATCTCTGGCGAAACTTCCATCAAACCTCTCTTTGCAGCCTCGTATGTTGAAAAATGCACAGCAGTAAATGGTGCATTCATCAGCACTGTAGTTCTATATGATGCGTAAAATGCTCCTAAACCCTCATCTCTAAGGACCCTTTTGACACAATCCAAAACTCCCTTGTAAGGACTATTACTCAGCTGCAGCCTCTGCTTGACCATATCCATTGGTGTAAAAACGGCATCGCTCGCCACCGTCGCACAGACGCCAGAAACGGCGTGGGCAACTGAATTATTAGGATCCCCACCAGAGAAAAACTTCTTACAATTCTCATAAACCGTAAAATACACAGCGTGTGCTGGTCCAGCTCCGAGACCCATAGCACCAATACCGCGATAAAAACCAGCAGGTCCCTCCGACTTCAAAATTGACCGAAGCGCTTGTCGAACTCCGACAGATTTAATTGGACAAGAACCAAGGGCTTGCATATGGGTCTTCACGGTATCAACCGGAAACATCGCCATATGCTCAACAGACCCGGCGACTGACCCGGCAACCATAAACTCCCAGAACCGAAGCCCATCGTGGGCCGACACCACAATCTCGGGATGGAAATCCGGAGGCGACGGCACCGGGCGGAAATCCGGATTCTGGAACTTAGTCGTGGCTTCAGTCGCCTCAGTGGCCATGGAAAGTACAGCAAGACAGAAGATTCAGCGGCCACGGAGTTCAAAATCCGAACGGAATCGAGTTTCTTAGACGGAATTTGACTAACCTATAACAAAAGTATACGAATTCCCAAGCTTCGAGCGGAAAAACAACGAGTTGGGAATGCAGGCATGAAGCATTCCGATTTCCAACAAAATTGGAGATCACTTCAACCGCATCTTCATCGAAGCGGCCAAGAGGATAAACGAGATGGCGAAATTGACTTTCTTGGAATGCTTAACAGGTCGAGCAAGGAGAAGAAGACGAAGTTTGTAGATAATTTTGGTGGTAGCTTTGACAAGTCATTAGGGTTCCAAGGATTAGGGCTTTGTATATTTTGACAGAAACGTGTTAAATTGAAACTATTACTCTTTCTTTCAGTATTTTCGTCCCATTCGGAACTTTTTGCCGTCGCGCGTTTCCTGAAGACTTGAGGACACGAATTAGGGCGGTTAAGGCCGCCGTCAA